ATACCTTAACAATGGCATATAAAAAACTTTTCAAGAATAAGAGTAGTTTATGCAGATCAATGCCCAATAGCGTAATCCACCATCCGAAAATCTACAAGTTGAAAAGTGTTTGGATGCTACAAAGAGAAAGTCAGATAACAGGACTTTGTAACAGACTAAATAATCCTGGATCAGTATGAATTACAACAATAATTAGACTCAAACAAGCACAGATCAAAAATTGGAAACCACTCAATCTATTAATCTACAAATCCTTAAGCCATCTAACAGACAAAGGAAACTTTCCACTCTAGGTAATCAAAATTGCTAAAGATATGGGAATAACATTTCATAGTTGGAAATGGCAAGATATCTTCAAGTGAAAAAAGGGAAACTTTTGAATCAGAGAATATCTTGCATTAGAAGAATACAAAAAAGCTATACCATTATATAGAAATAATCAGTTGATGTACCTGGACCGCTAATCAAACTAGAAACTATAAAAATAAGAGATTGGTGAATGCTTCAACTATTACAAAATACAAGCAAAGGACCCATAACAGAATGGTTTCAGATTATAATCAAAAATCTTCCGGAAGTACAACTAAAGCAACTTATAAAATCTGGAAGAGAAAATTATATGAAATAGAAATCAGAATACTCAAAAATAGATCTTAATCGAGACAAGCAAAAAAAATTGTGGATAGTAATGGGAAACAAAAGAAATCAAATAATTTGGAGAAAATTAAGACAAGAAAAAAGGGAAATATCGCAATGGTAGAGCACTTTATAAGTCATAACTCCAACAATGATCAGGAGATCAACATACAAAAATGTCTAGGATGTTCAGAAGGCAGAATACTAAATGGTGACTGTATCCTGAAAAGAGAAATAGGAGAAATATTTGTAATATTATACCTCAATACAAGAAAGTTCACTAGAAAAACATGAAACCTAAAAATTTCCAACTCCAAGTCAACACTTGAAAAAAGTATTAAAGAAGTGATTTACAACTAAAGCTCTCTAAAGATCCAAAATGATAGAGTAAATTACGTGAATATTGAAATTTGAGAAAGAGCTATTATCAAAGAACATATTAGAGAAGGAGCATATTAAGATCATCTAATAGATATACTTCAATGTAACCTTGAATCTAAAGAGAACTAATCTTCTATTCTGATGGATCACTTATTAATCACAGAAAAAAAGACATAAAGATGGAAGCAACCTGGATCCAAATAGATAAAGAAGGAAAGTAAAGTAAGTTTCAAACAGAAGTAAACAATTGACTCTCATCTACAAGAACAAAATTGGACGCAATTATAACAATACTCCTAGTAATCCCAATTGAAAGCATGGTGAAGATCTATACAGATAGTCAAGCATGTATCTCCAAGTGGAAATCCTTAGAAAAAGAAGACCTGAAAAAGACACACAAGAGATGACTCAAAGAAAAAAATTGGTCTCTATGGGCACATATGGTAGAGCTAACAAAAAAGAAAAACTTAGATCTAAAGCTCACAAAAGTTAAGGCACACTCAAATGACCCATATAATGAAGAAGCAGATGCTCTAGCTAAGAAAGCCATAAAATTTCCACCAATTGAATAGAAAGACCTCATTTCACACAAAATTATAACTGAAATCAAGTGACAAGAGACAACTCTAGATGATCCAATAAGACAGTTCCTCAAAAACATTAATAATAAAACAACAGCCTACAAGTGGACACAACAAAACAGAACAGAAAAAAAATGGAGTTACCAGATTTCAGAACACCAAGCTTATATGTGGAACTTAGTATGGGAAAAAATTAAGGATGGACATAAGTGGGATACATCTTTTAAACAATTCCAACAAAGAAGCTTTTTTATCAAACTGACCAATTATGAGCTATCCACTTTAAGTAAGTTGGCTGTAAGAAGACCGGATCTATACAAGCAAGTGAAATGCATTGCATGTAGCCAACAAGATAAAACCATAGAACATTTGTTAGAATGTTCAGTCTATAAAGATCAACTACAAAAGGTATGGAACAAAGGAGCAGATAGAATTACTAGAAACTTTAAAGAATTATTATGGAAAGAAAGAGAGAGGCTGAAAAAAAAAATTCTAGGCTGAGCATTGATGTCTGTGAAGAAATAGGAGAGTTTGACAAGTGGATCACTAAAGTAATAGAACAGACTTCTGGAACAAGTCAGAATATACTAAGTTTCTACTTTGGCCTTATAAGAAATGACCTTATCCTAGAAGTGGCAGATCTAAAATGTCAAGGTAAACGTATAGGAAGAACAGCAAGAAATTGAATATTGAAAATGCAAAAAAGAGTCTGTAACCAAATTCGAAAAGAAGTCTGGAACAAGAGATATGAAAAGATAATCGAATGAGAATGAAAACAAGGAATCAGTAATAAAGACAAGATGAAAAGACCTTCGTGTCTTTCAGGCCAGTAAACTATATTCCAGAAGAAAAAAAATTCATTACTAGAAGAAGGAAACCTTGAAGATGAAAGCCTACAAGAAATTCTAACAAGAAGAGTAGAGTATGGAATGAAATGGTTGGGTTTTAAGCTTTGTCAGAATCCCACAGAGTAATCTGCAGTAGTAATCTGCAGGCAATGAGCTAACTGTTGGAAGGATCTTTACCTGAACTGCTAATGGAGCGATAAATCACTCCCGAAATTACATTTAGAGTTTTAATAATTCTTAAAATAGAGACAAGTGAATTAGGTTGAGACTTAGTTTTAGCGATACATTTTCAATGTAAAGTATACATATGTTTAATAAAGCACATATACCTAGCCTGACAGAGGGTTTAAAAAAAAAAAAAAAATGAAAGACTAGAAGATCCCTTGAAATTGCTTGTATTAATCAAAAATAAAATTACCAGTAGTAAGTATCAATATAAAGTAATATAGTGAATCAACTATTTTATAATGGTAGTACTTCAAGAGTAATATTTATCAAGATCAGTAAAGGTATATATCAGAAAGATCAAGATTCCTTTTTTAGATAGGTTATTACAATGAATAAGTAAAGATAGATTTATTAAATAATAAAGATCCCATATTTTATAACTCCTTCTTATAGCCTTTTTATCCCTAATTCTTTTTAACTTCAGTTCTAAATATCCTCAAAAATCCCTTTGACTTGTCTGATTACTTGAAGAAATATCAAAAAGAAGATCCAATATAAATAGGTAAAACAAGATATAGGATCAAAATTGAAAGACACAAGAATTATAATATAGAAGTACTAAAAGCAACAGAGAAACAGACAATACATTCTCAATTGATAAAGTTTTTAAAGAATATTTAGCTGATAATACAGAAATAATAGTAATAATATAATCTCAAATATTGACTTTATAATAAATAATTATTTTTTTTCTCTCATTAAGTTTTTTCAAGATATGAACAAAATCCTCTTCTTTATTGACTCTTGTAAAGTTATTATTTTTTATTATTTCTTCTAGCAGTAGATAATTTTTTAAGAAGATTGGCATATAAATATATATTCTCTTTTTGGATTAAAATAGACAAACTAGATTCAATACATATATCAATCTTCTTTAAAATTTTTAATTTATTATTAGTTTACTAACTTACTATTGTTTTTTTTTGATCAAATGTATCTTTATAGTAAAACTTAACTAATAAACTTGACCAAACCAGCATTATAAAATAATAATAATAATAATAATAAAAGAATTATATTGAAACATTTTTAAATCTATGAATCAATAGTGCAGTGGTTAGCATTTTATAGATCAGATCACAAGATATAGGTTCAAATACTCCATGGGGCTAATATGATTCCCTTGATTAAAAGCAGGTAGAATCTAACAAATCATCCATTGGCTTAACCAATGTTTTCAAGTATAGCTAGTACAGATCAACACGATCAATAGTCTAAAATTCAATTGATTCAATCAATAGTTTATCAATATAACTATTTAATATTTTATATATATTAATTTACAGTTTATAAAAACTATTAACGTTATGCTAATAAATTAATTTTCTAATAAAACTCATGCTCATTTGCAATAAAATTTATTAACTTTTTTGTTAGAACATAAACGTCATTTCAATTAGCACCCCTAAGTTACAGTATATTGACAGTAAAAAAAAAAAAGAATACATTTAACCACCATATGAAAACAATTTATTTTTTTTTTTTTTTTTTTTTTTTTTTGACAAGTGACACCAACTTTACAAACTTTAAGGTCACATTAAAACATAACATCATTATACCTTAAGACGAAAAATATTTATATACAATTCAAAGAGTAAAATTAGCTAATTAAGAGTAAAACTTTTCGCGTTCAATATTGAACAGGAAAAGCCAAACACTCAAAATTTTGCAAGAAATTTTTGGTTTCTATGTTGAAAAGTTTTTCATATAACAATTTATAACTAACTATGAAAGATATAGATGTTTCAGTTAGTTGTTGTTAACTCATCGATCAATTCGTCAATCGATTCTTCGGGAACTTCTTCAGCCGTTCCAATCAAAATTTTCTCGGTAGTTACGTTTGCATTATCGATGTTAACAGTAAAAATGGCTGGTTGATGTTCAACGGACCCTGAGGCCACACCTGGTTCATTGGAAATAGCCAAAGATACTTCTTCCTCGGTTTTTGATTTCTTTCTTGGTCTTCCTCGCTTACCTGTTTTGACAATTGTTTCTTTGAGTTCATTGTTTTCGGATACCTCTTTTTTAGGTCTTCCACGTTTCTTAGAGGTTACGGGCTCTTTTCCTGGTTCTGCCGAAGAATATCCACTTATGGGTATTTTCTTTGGCCTTCCTCGTTTACCAGTCTTAGCATCATTTTCGGTTGCAATCGATTCGTCTTTGTTGGGTTCGAGTATCACATTGGGCTCGCCACTTTCAGGCATCGCCTTGGGCTCATTACTTCCGGACGCTTCCTGGAGTCCACTGCTTTCGGGCATGTCTTTGAGTCCACCACTTTCAGGTGCCTCCTTGGGCTCGTTGCTTTCAGGTGCTTCTTTTCTTGGCCTTCCACGTTTTTTGATAGCGGTGGTAGATTCATTCATAGTCTTTTCGGGTTGACCTTCAACTTTAAGCACTTTTCTAGGCCTTCCTCTACCTTTATGTTTAGTAGATGCAATCATACCTTTGCTTGATTGGGAATCAATTTTAGGAATTTTTCTTGGCCTTCCACGTTTACCAGCTTTACCACCTGTTGTAGTTCTCACAAGATTAGCATTAGATTCATCTTTTTTTGGCCTTCCTCTTTTTTTAGGAACACGGACAGACTCGCTTATGGTCCCATCCGAATTAGTAACAGGTTCACCGGTCTGAACCATCTTTGGTCTTCCCCTTTTACCGTGTTTAACCTTGATTGTGCTTTGGTCTACAGTAGCGACCGAAAGTCCCTCAACTGATTTGACTTCAGTCGTGATTCCTTCAGCATTAGTTTCACTAGGTTTGACCTTCTTTGGTCTTCCTCTGGTAGTTGCCGTGACCTTTTTTGGTCTTCCTCGACCAGCCTTCACAGGGGGTTGATCCACAGTGGCTTGTGGATTAGACGGTAATTTGGATGGATCTTCGCTCAAAATTACAGAATGAATATTTGATGTGTTTTCTCCACACCCGAAAGATCCAACATGCTCTGAACCGTGTGATTGCATGATGGACTTGCGTGAGAAAGGATTTGATTGTGGATCAATATCATTTTGTAATTGAATGATTGCGTCATTGCCAATCCTGTTCACATCATTAATTGTTGGAACATCAAACACGCTAGGATCAGTATGACCGATATTCTTCTCTATTATATTTTCAGAGGTGATAAAGTTATGTTGAATAAAAGATGTTGATGCAGCTTTGACAGGCGCTGATTCTTTATTTCCTTCTACTTTGTGAACGCTAGACAAAGTCACTCGAGTTATTTCTTGTGAGATTCTCGCGTTATTATATTGAGTTACTGTCTCTTGTGTATTCAAAGGAGTAATATTATCGAATGCATAAACTCCCCTCGAGTTATCAGTAGAACCGATGTTTGTAGTTAGGACTACGCCGTTATCGATTGAACCAGTGGCGTCTGTTGTTTGATGCACGCTGTTGGTAAAGTAAGTGTCATAACTCTGAGAATTCTGAAGTTCGACAAAGTCGTTATTTCCAGGTGGAAGAGGTGCTTTGCTGAAATCGGTCATTTGGAGAAAGCTATCGTTATTGAACCTGTTAGGGATCGTATTTTCAACGATACCTTCGTTAATTACGGCTTGAATATTAATCTCTTCGGCACTTTTATTTACTGCCAGAGGTGGAAATTCGATAGTCGAACTAGATAACGCATTTATCTCGCTGAAATTTTCGCTATCAGCAAGAAAAGGACTTTCATTTTTTTTCACCTTTCCCTTTAAGGGAGAGTTGTTTTGAGGCGATTTTGTTCGTAAGGGGCGTTGTTGCCTTGTGGGCAAAGGGAATGGTGCCTCAGAAATTTCTATTGAATCAGGATTACTTTCGCCTTTATCTGTTTCATGCTTTCTCCGCACATGCGCTGCCTGCGTTGCCATTGCAGTTCAACTTAAGTTGTTTACAAAAGAGTGAGGTTATGAGTTAAATTTACTATTTCAGCAGATAATACAAAATCTAGAATGTATGCAACCAATCCGCTTATCGGATATCCGCAGATAAAAAAAAAAAAAAAAAAAAAAAAAAAAAAAAAAAAAAAAACGTGATAAGCAATCTTTAAAAAGTTTGTTATATATTCCATTCAAATTATTAATAAATGTTTAGTTACCTTAAACGTTCGCTTGATGTGATTAAGGAACAGGGCGCGAGAAGTAAATTACTTTTTATAGTAATTTTAATATGCACAGTTGAAAAAAGATAATGATAAATCACTGATATATTAATATTAGTTGCCAGGGCTAATCCTGCACATTGGGATAAAGAAAAATTATTGTTGACTTTGAATTCTCAGGAAGATCTAAAGGAATGGGTTCTTGGATGTGATAAAGATATTGGTGGTTGGTACCACGGAAAAGACTCTTTTTATTAGTATTATTTATTATTACGTTATGTACGCTTTGTTTTATCAAGGATACTCGAACGCAAATTTGGAAATTACTCCGGAAGGAGTTGGAAGATTTTCTGGCAACATTTCATTAGAATTACCAAAGAATAATCCAATTATAGAAAAAAGTGGTTATGCCGCTATCAGATCGATGGTAAATACGTTTATTTTCTTCTCTAATTCTGAATCACAGGGGTCCTTAATAATTTGATAAAATGTTAAAGGATCGTAGGTCACTGTTCGGTCCTGTGACCTGGGATACAATGCTGTTCAGATATTTAACAATACGATTAAGAGGCGATCATAGAAAATATTTTGTGAACATACAGACGGACGGACCTATTCCAACAGATTTATATCAACATCGTCTATTTTTGAAAAAACCTGGTGAATGGGAAACCGTCATGGTAAGAATTCACGACCAACTCGCAATACTGTGCATTATGCACTTTCAGTATACTTATTTTTAAATATACTAGATTCCGTTCAAGGATTTTATCTTGACAAATCAAGGCATCATACAAGATCCACAAGTAATAATGTATAGAGAAAAGGTTCGTACTATTGGATTCTCATTATTGAGCCAGCCCGGAACTTTTTGTCTAGAAATCGATTGGATAAAAATGATGAACACCGAACATACAGCCGGTACGGAATTTGTAAATTTACGCATTAATTTTATACTTTGCCAATTCATCCTTGACATGTTTGGGATGTCTTTATTTTAGGTGATGATGACATATAGATTTGTTTTACTGTAGCATAATGATTCGCTGTACCATTAAATTAGCATAATTGTTCATTTCTGCCATTTCTTGTACTCTTGGAAGCAAGATTTATGGAGTTCAACATTATGTTGTATTGTTGTATTCTCAGCACCAATTTTGGTTAAATTTTGAGTAGCGCTTATTGGATAGACAAAATAATAACAATAATAATAAAAAAAAATCGTGTTAGCAGGAGCGCGTACAATTTTAAATTTTAAATTATACCGTCTTACATTATTCCTTAAGGGCTACACGATTTGTAACATTGACATAATGAGCTATAAACATTTTAACAGTTACTTCAATAGAAAAGCACGACTAAAAATGGTTCAACTCTAGCATCTATATCAGAACATTTACCCTTCTAAATAGCATTATAATACAATATATAAAAAAGAAATATATTTATTTCAAGACTCTTTCCACTGATTCCTTGACAACACACAAAAAAGATGTTTGCAAAAAAGTTTTATACTTTTCTGCTAATAAAGTCTTATTACTTTTCTTAAAACAACTTGAAGAATAACTTCAAGAGTCCCTCTCAACTCCTTTCTCTTGTTTATATTCCTTTTCAAACAAAAACTTGACTTCCAGTAACCAAGAAAAGTCAAGAAACACCTTTTTTATATATGGCAAGAAAGTTCTAAAAGGAAGAAAACCAATACATTAGTCAAAATTATATCATTCAACTGTTGAATTATTACCAAATTTGGCAAAAATTAATAATAAAAAGATTGATGAATTATTTACAATTGCTGCTACTTAGCATAAAAATATTGATATACTGTACTATAAAAAAATTTTTGACACAAAAATTTAGTAATATTGTGGCAAAAAAAAATTTTGCATACTATGGTAAAAATTTAGCAAAAAAATTGATACAGTGACAAAAAATTCAACAAAAAAATTGATACTATGGTAAAAAATTCAGTAAAAAAAATTAATACTGTAGCAAAAAATTTGACAAAAAAATTATTGTAGAAAAAAATTTGACAAAAAATTGATACTGTAGTAAAAAATTCGATAAAAAAATTATTGTGATAAAAAATTCAAATTTCACAAAATTTATTAAAAATTACAAAATCAATTAACTAAATTATTTGTCATTTTTCTCTTTCTCCTCTTCCTTCTTTTTCATTTGCTTTTCTTTTCTCTTTAAAGATCTCAGCTTGACTCTTTTAAAACTAATCTCAAATGATTTTATTTTGTCAAATATTTTCTAAGATTTTTTACTTTTTTTTTCTAATTTAATTGCTTTCAAATTTTATCCATTCATATACTTTCCCCAGTTTGTTCCTTATCCTCTGAATACATTGATAATTCTTCATATTTAGTAATTTTTTGTCTTTTGAATTTAACTACTGATTTTTTATTTTTTCCTATCTCTTTTTCTTGTTCATATTTTGAAATTTCTTTCAAACTGTATATTCAATTCAGCAAACTTTCTGATAATATCATATCATAAAAATATGAATCATCATAATATTATTTATAAGTCAGCTGGAATACTTAAATTGATTTTGAATATTTATCTAAATATTTCAACAAATCCTTTAACTATAAATAATTATAATTAATATTGTAATTATTCAGTATAAAATAAATATTTTACCAAAAAATATCTCTTCAGAATACTAACTGTAATCATATACATTTATTCTTTTTTTAGTAGGGTTTCCCAGATCAGTCTTATTTTCTTCAAGTAAATGCATCTTTGTTTCTTTAATTATATCAGTTAATTTATTTTAATATTTGATAAATTTCTTTGACTTTTATTTAATAAGTGACTGTGTGCTTTTAATTCTTTATTCTCTTTTTTTAATTATTTATTAAAAATTAATACTTGAAGGTAATATAAATGTAAAATATTATTAATTTTACTTCAGTTAATTAGCTATTTATATGTAAGTGACAATTGTTCATTTCCAGTTTTTCAATTTCTATCTTCTGATATCTTCCTTTCTAATGGTGATGTAAAGTGCCTAACTATTCATTTATTTGCTTTTGTGAGGAATTAAAATATAAGGTCAAGAATTTTATTAATTTGGGTATCAACTTTTGTAATATTTTTTTATTTACATCACTCGAAAAAACTTTATTTACTCTCAATTTATATTTGTCAGGAATGGTTTTTATTAAGGCCTTCATTTCTACTTTCACTTCTTCTGATTTTAGTTTATCTTCAGTAACTGGATTTACTTGTTTTGCCTCTTTATTACTTTTTTTAAGTTGAATTATTTGGCACTTTCCTAAACTCAGCAAACTTTTAGATTCTAATATATTAGCTACTCTAGATTTTACAATACCTATAGGATCAAGTTCAAGTTCCACAGATTTGAGCTGATCAATTTTCTTTTTTAAATCTTCTATTTTATTTTTTTGCTATTCTGATTCTTTAAAAAACTTGTTATTAATATATTCTATTAGGTTTAATTGTTTTACAAATTCAGTATCTTCTCTTTCTAATTTTTTGATTCACATATATAATTTTTATTTTCTACATAAATCGTTTAATTAATAAAGATAAATTTTAATAATTCAGCAATAATTTAATTCTAACCTAACCTTTTTCAATATCTTCTCTGGTTTGAGTTTCAGATGATAATTCAACTTTCAATATTAATATTTATACAACTTCAGATACCAATATTTCAGGCAATATAATATATGACCTTATTCTAAGCAATTTGGCTATTATAGTAGAGATTAAAAATTCGATATTAAGTGTTACTGAATGAACTGTTGCCACTTTTGATGCAGTTAATGCAAAGAAAGTTTGTAATAGCAGGGAAAGTTGTAAATACAAAAGTAAATAACTGTTCTCTATAAAAAGTATATCCAGTTGATTTTTTTTGTTCAAATATTTTAGATATTAGAAAAAAATATTAAATTAAAGGAATATTTAAATAAAATTATTTATATTGTTTTAATACAATTCAGGACTGCATACAATATTATATATTATTCATTATATTATTATTATTATTTTTTTTTTTTATAATCCTTGGCTAGGCCAGTACTGTGTGTTTATTAATCATACGAAAACCAATTGAGATACATAGGGCAATTGCATTGTGGCTAAACTAAAAGCTCGTACTGACACACTCGTTAACAGCCATCAATTCTCAAAAGAGCTTCGGCCTCTAAGTGCAACCTTGGGGACAATATTTCGCTCCAAACTAAGTTTTGGGTGAAGATCCTCCTAACCTGTCCATCATTGCTAGCAGGTTGTCACTGCTTATTATCATCCAAGGAACTGAATTCAAGAAACTACAAAAGGGAAAGGGAAAAATAAAAGGAAAGGGATATCTAAAAATGCACGACTGTGCTACATGAAAACGAAAAAAAAAGAAAAAAAGAGGCAAAACAAGTAAATCCAGTTACTGAAGATAAACTAAAATCAGAAGAAGTGAAAGTAGAAATGAAGGCC